GTTAACTTCCTCTCTTTCTGTTCTCTTGAGGAAGGCTTGCAGTGCTATAAATTTCCCTCTTAGGACTGCCTTTGCAGTATCCCAGAGGTTCTGATTATTCAGGTCTTCATTATCGTTTTGTTCTAAAAATTTGGTAATTTCTTTCTTAATCTCATCTATTACCCAGCTATCATTCAGCATAAGGTTATTTAGCTTCCATGCTTTTGTATGAGTCTGCAGAGTCCTGTTGTTACTGAGTTCAACTTTTATTCCATGATGGTCCGAGAAGATGCAAGGAATAATTTCTATTCTTTTAAATTTGCTGAGGTGAGACTTGTGACCTAAGATGTGATCGATTTTGGAGTATGTTTCGTGGGCTGATGAGAAGAATGTGTATTCAGTTTTGTTCGGATGAAATGTTCTGTAGATGTCTATTAAATCCAAATGTTGAATAGTTAAGTTCAAATCTAAAATTTTTTTGCTTAGCTTCTTATTGCAGGATCTATCCAACACTGCTAAAGGAGTGTTAAAATCTTTGACAATTATGGTGCTGGAGGAAATCAAGTTGTTCCATGTCTGTTAGAGTCTCTCTTATAAAGATGTGCATTCAGTTTGGGTGCATAAATGTTAATAATTGAAATCTCATCATATTGAGTATTACCCTTAACAATTTATTGATCCATTCATGGGTTGATGGGCACTTGGGCTTCTTCCATGACTTAGCAATTATGAACTGGGCTGCAATAAACATTCTCGTACATATATATTTGTTATAAAGTGATTTTTGGTCTTCTGGATATATACCTAGTAGAGGAATTGTAGAATCAAATGGCAGGTCTATTTTTAGATCTCTAAGTGTTCTTCAAATATCTTTCCAAAAGGAATGTATTAGTTCGCATTCTAACCAGCAATGTAGAAGTGTTCCCTTTTCTCCACATCCACTCTAACATCTCTGGTTTTGGGATTTTGTGATGTGGGCTAATCTTACTGGAGTTAGGTGATATCTCAAAGTAGCTTTGATTTGCATTTCTCTGATGATTAAGGATGAAGAGCATTTTTTCATGTGTCTATAGGCCGTGCGTCTGTCTTCTTCAGAGTTCAGTTTCTCTTCAAGTCCCTTGCCCACCCTGAGATGGGATCACTTGTTCTTTTCTTGCTAATACATTTGAGTTCTCTGTGGATTCTGGTTATTAAACCTTTGTCGGAGACATAACCTGCCTGGTAGGAGAGTGCCATGGTACCCAGGTAGGGAAAGGAGGTCTGTTTTTTAGAGGGTCTCTCCCATGGAATAAAATGGGAGGACATTTGAACTCTGCTCGCTTGTTTGTATGGAGGATACTGTGAGCCGTTCTCGTGGGGAAGGGGACTCTCGTCTGCTTGGCAATGGATTTTGTACCTTTTGTTTGTACCCTTGGGGTCACAGCTTGCCTCAGCAGGGTTGATGTGCACTCTTCAACCTTCTCTCTTGGCTCAGCTCCAAACCATCAGCTTACTTACTAAGGTTCTGTCCTTTAACTCTCCTTCTGGATGGGAGCTTCTGTGGAAAGCTGGCTCCAGTTGGCCATCTTGCCTCCAACAAAATTTTTAAGAGAATTTCTTCTTTCCTTTTATTCAGAGATCCTACCTAGAAAAGTTCCTTTTACTTTGAATTTTGCTTTTCCTCCATCATTTCCCTCCCTTTTTATTCAAATTAGCTTCTGGGCACTAACCCCCACTCCCAGGCACCTTGAAAAAGCAGCTAACAAGCTTAAACTATTTCTCTATTAGTAGGTGTTGATGAATTGACCTGTTATACTCCCTCAGAACATACAGCAGACTCTTAGTATTTCAGAATGTAACAGGTTAGTGACCAGAAGAATCCTTGATGTGTATTAATTCAGCTGAGACATAATTTACAAGGAATAATCTGTATTATTTTCGAGATCAGTATAGGTCCCCTGCAATAAATTGGAAAAAGAGATTTAGGCACCAATTTGGACTCCAAAAATTGTAAGGCTGTATGGGCAAGAGGGAGCCACTGTCTAGCCACCCAGCATCTAAGTTTCCATATGACTTAGTCCTATCCTTACACCCACAGATAGCTTGGAAAGTAAGAAAAAACCTGTCCTTTATTATACACAACCTTGACGTCCTAATGCTTTTCTATTAGTACTGTATTTGACACAATACATGATATGCTATTGGGATATTTTCTAATTTAAGAGTTTAGAGTGTTCCTGGGTTTGATTAAGGATCTCTTGTACATTTGCACATTCTCCTGAACTCAGAGTGGATCTAAACGAGGGAATGACTCAGCCCTTCGAACTAGACCTCTGTCTGCACCAGGCCTCTCATAGAATTCAAAGCCAGCCCCAAAAGGGCTGTCGTCTATGGGAGTCTCAGGAGGGTAGATTACTAGAGCTTACGGGTTTGAGACCAGCCTGAGCAAAGCAAGACTCCTATCTCTACTAAAAATAGGAAAAAAAAAAACCCCAAAAACAACTAGCTGGGATTTGTAGCAGGCACCTGTTGTCCCAGCTACTTGGGAGGCTGAGGCAAGGGGAAACTCTTGAGCCCAAAAGTTTGAGGTTGCTGTGAGCT